GACTATACATGGGTCCTAAGTCCTAGGAGACACACCTGGGCAAGTGTTTCCTTAGGGTACAGTTCTAGGAAAGGGATTTTTCCATCATAGACTATGTATGCATCCTGAACTTACGCAGATAATGTCAAATGTTACATCTTTATATGTATTGGCCATTCAAAATTTCCCCTTCAGTGAAATATCTGCTTAAGTATTTTATCCATTTATTTTGGGTTGACTTTTCCTGTCTCAAAATTTCTGAATTAATTCTGGAAACTAATCTCCAGCATAGATAAGTTACAAATATTCTTATTTGTGCATAATGGGTTTTTACTTTTGTGTGGGGGGGTGGGTACTGGGGATTGAATTCAGGGACCCTTTACCACTGAGCTACACCCACAGTTCTTTTTATTTTTGATTACAAGACAGGATTTTACCAAGTTACTGAGGCTGGCCTTGAATCTGCTATCTTCTGCCTCAACCTCCCAAATCACTGGGAATTCAAGCATGTACCACCATATCCAGCTTACTTTTTATTATCTTAACTTTAATATAGTTATGTTTTATTTGTGTCCTTTTATGGTTTCAACTTTTGTGTCAGAGGTTAAAAATAAACTTAAATTCCATAATATCATTTTCTAAACTTTTTATAGTTTTGCCTTTATCTTTTAAATACTTAAATTCAATTAAAATCCATTTATGTGTACAGCACAAATCCTGACTTCCATATGGGTAATTCAGTCTTTTACCATTATAAAAGTAGTAGTAGCCTTCTTTAGCAATATTTACATATACTTAAGCCAACTTTCTTTTCGTTGGTTTTGGCCTGGTACATTGTTTTCACATCCTTTTATATTTAGCATTTCTTTAGACTTATCTTTTAGTTGTATCTCTTATAAATCATACTTGGGGGGGCTGGCACTAAGGCTCAGCAGTAGAGCACTCACCTAGTACATGCAAGGCCCTGGGTTCAATCCTCAGCACCACATAAATAAATAAAGGTATTAAAAATGTAAGCATAACATATTATAAAAATAAATAAATAAATAATACTTGGATTTGTTTCCCCTCATCCTAACAATCTCTGCCTTTTTCTTTAATATTTATTTTTTAGTTTTAGGTGGACACCATGTCTTTATTTTTATGTGGTGCTGTGGATGGAACCTAGTGCCTCATGCACGCTAGGCGACCACTCTACCACTAAGCCACAATCCCAGCCCACAATCTCTGCCTTTTAACAAGAACATTTAGTTCATTTATATTTATTGCAATTACAGGTTTTTTTTTTTTTAACCTTTTAAGGTACTTGTCCCACCTTTCTTTTTCATCATCTTTCTTGCTTCCTTTTAAATAATTTTTTTCTTATTCTATTAGCCCCCCTTCTAAGTTATTCAATTTCTAGTATTTTAGCAATTGGCCTTGAAATTATAGGAAGCATACTTACAAAGATCTTTAAATACTTGAATTGTGATCATCTCTATATCAATGCTGTAATGTGCTGAAATTCCCTTTAATTCTATAAGAAATTATTAGTTTTATTCAGCCAATATTTATTTAGATTTACTTATTTTCACAGATCATCACAGTATCTTCCATTTTCAGAGTTTCCATTTGGGAAAATTTTCCTTTTACCTAAAGTATATTCTTTAGAATGTTCTTTAACGAAAGTGTATTGCTAGCAAATTGTTAAATTTCAATTTATCTGAAAATATTTTACCATTGTTTTTTGAAAGATATTTTTGTTGAGTATAAAATTCTCAAAACATGATTATTTTTCTTTCATCCTGACAATATCATTTTACTGTTATCAGACTTCCATCATTGCTGTTGAAAGGTTGTTCCCCCTGAGCCTAGATTTTTTTTTTCCTTCATTTTTTTTTTTTTAAGTTCTAGTACATTCGTTTTATTTATCTATTTTTTTATGTGGTGCCAAGGATGAAATCCAGCAACTTGCATGTGCTAGGCGAGCACCGTACCGCTGAGCCACAGCTCCAGCCCCAGAGATTTCTTTTATATCTATCCTGATTGATGATATATCATTATTTCCATGTACTGGCATTTGTCAATCCTACAATATCATCAGACATTAGCAACTCATCATATATGGCCTCCAGTACATGGAGAGAAAGTCCAAGTGTCAGCAAGTGTGTGCATGCAAGTGTTTTCCTTCTAGTTCCAGTAAGATGAGTGTTAGATTTTCTTTTTCCATTTTTTAAAAATATTTATTCACGATACCTTTATTTCACTCATTTAGTTTTTTAACGTGGTGCTGAGGATTGAACCCAGGGTCCCGCCAGTGCGAGACGAGCCCTTTACTGCTGAGCCACAACTCCATCCCCAATTGTTCCATTTTTCTTCTCTCTTATCTTCTTCTGACATTTCCCTTCTCTCTTTTTTTTTACTTACTCTGCATTGTTTTCTGGATAATTTCTTCACTTCCACCAGTTGATTATCGGTGTGTCTAATATGCAAATAAGTATAGCTTTCCACTGACTTTAAAATTTTAATTATATTTTTTATTCTTAGAACTTCTATTTTAGAACTATAGTTGTAGCTCAGTGGTAGGGTGCTTGCCTAGCACATGTGAGGCACTAGGTTTGATCCTAAGCACTACATAAAAACATAATTATATCCATCTACAACTAAAAATATTTTAAAAAATAAATTCTATTTTACTCTTTTTCAAATTGGGTTGTTTTCTCTCTTGACCCTTATTCATATTTCCCATTCTTTCTTTTATCTTTAAATATATTAAGCACAGTTATTTCATATTCTGTGTCTAATACCACTAATGTGTGAAATCTTTGAGGATTTAATTTGTTGACCATTATTTTTACTGGCTTTTCTTTTCCTTGTTTGTTTGGTAATTTTTTAAAATCATAAACTCGTACTTCTTAGAACTTTATCCATTGGAATTAGTTGAAGTCAGGCTGCAGTTGTAGCTCAGTGGTACAGTGCTTGCCTAGCATGTGTGAAGCACTGGGTTCAATTTTCAGTACCACATAAATATAAATGAATAAAATAAAGGTATTGTTTCCATCTACAACTAAAAAAATTAAAAAAAATTAGTTGAAGTCTAAGTTAAATGTAGATTCCTTCAGAAGAGATTTGTTTGTGGGCTGGGGTTGTGGCTCAGTGGTAGAGTGCTTGACTACCAGGTGCAAGGCCTTGGGTTTGATCCTCAGCACCACATAAAAATAAATTAATAAAATAAAGGTATTGTGCCCAACTACAACTAAAAATTAAATATTTAAAAAAATTGTGTTTGTTTTTGACAAACAACTGGAAATTCTTTAAATGCTTGGCTTAGGATTTCTTGAACTATTCTATTCTGAGAGTATGAATTCAAGCAACAAGCTCATAAATTCTCAAGGGAAATCTCAGACCCATCTCACAATGTCAAGGTTTAATGCCTTTTTAAATTTTTTGCAATCACCTAAGGGAAAGAGCTTACATTTAATTAATTCAGCCTTAGAATACTGCCCTTTGAATTCTCAGCTTTAGGGGGTTGTAACAGGAGGCGTCTCTATCTTAAGCTCTGAGTTTTGTCTTCTATTTTCTAGGTCCCTTGAGGTCATAAAATACCAAAAATGAATGGTCATAAAATACCAAAAATGAATGTTCAGAAAATACCCTCAAAGTTGGCCTCAGAACTCTGCTTACCTCCTTAAAATGTACCCTCTTTCACTTACTTTATGCAAATATTCTTTACTATACATTTCAAATGTATTTATATGTGTTTTTCTCAGCATTTATTAATTGTTTTCATCAAGGCAAGGACTTGGACTAGAGATACTTTATCTGAAGAGATAAAGTCTGAGAACAGAAACATGCTGAAGAACAAATTTTTCCTACAATGACAAATCCCTAAGTTATCTGAAGCGAGATTTGAGATTTTGGTGATCTTTAAGGCTTCCTCGCCACAAAGTCTGTTGGTGCCGTGTAAGCAATCCTGGAACGAGCAGTAGGGAGCAAGCATTCTAGCAGGGTTCTCCTGCCCCACTAGAGTACTAATCTGGTCTCCTGTCCTAAGTCTTCCAAATCCTCCCTTCTCCACTTCCTGCAAGAAGCGAATCTAGTGCACCCAGCTCAAGGTAACGTTTTCACCACAGGATCTTCTTAGCCCTTCATTCTCACTGAAGATCTCACATGATTCTGAAAAGGTCTGTGGACCCAAAACGGCTGCATTAAAACCCAATTCAGTTATACCTGCCCTCCCCATAGGAAAGCCTCCCCGGTATTTTTAAGTTAACCATTACTCTAGAACAGAATGAGGAGTGTCAGCGCTAGAAGGAACCCTAGAAATCATCTAGCAACTAACTCAACACTTGCAACTCAGAGTTCAACGGAGACTCAGAGGGTGGACACAGTTGCCTAAAATCACCTAAACTGGGTGGCTTGAGAGCTCGGGTAGGACTGACCTCGTTTCCCGTCTCCATACCCAGGTACTCCTAACAAGTGCCAGTGTCTTGACATTCCTTGAAAAGGGGTGGCTTCGGGAGGCAGGAGGGGAGGAAAGAACTCTGACACCTTCGCAAACAAAACCCAGCAACTACGGTAAGTGACACCTGTCCCCAAGCACAGGCGACCCCGCCTGGCTCTCACTCGTGGCTGCACCCCAGCACAGAAAGTTGTAGGAGTGTGACAGAGAAACCGGCAGCGCGTCAGTCCAGACGGCGCGGTGGCAGGTAATGAGTGTGGGGTCCCCGGAGCACCGGGCGAGCTCGCCGGTGGCAACGGGACCGTGGGTTCCCAGGCCGGACAAGAAGCAGAAACGTGTGGCCACTGGGACAATCCCAAGAACGTGAAACGAGCCTCGCGGAAGTTTCTGGACGCCGGGACGGACGCGGAGGGAGGGGACGGAGGCGCGGGACGGACGCGGAGGGAGCGGGTGCCTGGGGCCGCGGGCGGCTGCGGGAGGGGCGCCCGCCCGCCCGCGCCCGCCGCAGCGCGCGACGCCGACCCCGCCCCGACAGGCTCCGCCGCCCGAACGGCCTGAAGGTCGCAGTGGAGCCTCTCACCCGAGCAGGCGCCGCCTCCGCCATGGCTCCAGTCGCCGCTCAACAGCCGGGCCGCCTGAGAGCCGTCGGGCTGCGCGCCAGTCCGCCCGCGCCCGGACGCTCCCGGAAGCCGCCGCCGTGTTGACGCGAGGTGCACTCTGGGAGCCGGCCCTGCCGGCCAAGATGGGCCTCAGTCGCCCGGCCCACGCGCGGGTTTCCATCGCGCCCCCGTGCGGCCGGAGGACGAACGGCAGGCTGGAACCCAGGCCAGCGCGGCCTGGCGAACCAGCTCCGACCTTGAAGTCCAGAGCACGTTGGGAATTGAGGGAGGACCCGCGGGCCTTTGTGTGTCTTTTAGGTGCCAGCACTTTACTCAATGCTTTGCGGGATTGAAAAATGCATGAAACTCGGACTTTGCTCCTAGAGAAGAACATGTAACCTACTCGGGGAAAGGAGATATGGCCCCAACTGGCAAGTGCCCTTATACTAGTAGCGCACCTATTACCTGGCTTTTTAGATAATAGAACCGCATTTTCATATCAACAGTGTGGAGTCAAGGACCCAGTCAACCCACTGTAGTCCATTAAGTGTGGTATTACATGCCTTGGAAAATCCAAGATAGACTTGATTCAAGTAATTAATCCAGTCCTTGAGCTGCATGCAGTGTGTTAGAAGGTGTGTTCGGAGTTCGGGCTTAGAAAGCATGGCCACGTTACCATTTCATCACCATATACCAGCAACACTCCTGCAACCATACTTACCTAATTTATACCATTTTGCCTCTCTAGAGACGTGAATGAGAGTGAAATGAACGCCTAATGACAGGCATGAAGCGCTTCCTCTGAGATACAAACTCTTAAAATCAACAGAAAATTTGTTACCCTAGACTGTCTCCTTCACAGCAAGGGCTGAGGTCAGATTCCACTTCCTCAAAGAGGTCTGCCCTACCTACTCTGACTACAGCCCAACTCTCTCCTCCATCCCCAAACTCATTGTCTTCACCCTGCTGGAAATAACCTCTTTTTTTTTTTTCTTTCATTTACTTCTCTGTCTCTTCCACTAAAATGTCTTTTCACAGTATCGCCTACTCATTTTTCTCAGATATAAAAAGCCATCTCAAAGACGGTGGCGCACACCTGAAATCCCAGGGGCTCAGGAGGCTGAGGCAGGAGGATTGTGAGTTCAGAGCCAGCCTCAGCAACAGGCGAAGTGTTAGGCAACTCAGTGAGACCCTGTCTCATAAATAAAATACAAAATAGGGCTGGGAATGTGGCTCAGTGGTCAAGTGCCCCTGAGTTTCATCCGTGGTAGAAAGAGAGAGAGAGAGAGAGAGAAAAGATATGATTTTCAGGGCAAACAGATTGACAGGAGCTTGATTGAATCATTACCAAATCTTAAGGAAGAATGGACCAGCCTGAAGAGACTAATTAACAATAAGTTCTGCCCTCTCTCAGACCAATAAACACTTGCTGTCAGACTCAGAAAGACATGTATCATGATTGTAGAGTCAGACATATCAGGACATAGGGCATTGTTCATAGAACTCACCCCTCATTCCATTTCTATGCTCACCAGGCTGCTGACTGATGAGTCAGGTCTCCACGTAGCTGCTGGGAGACAATATGCATTAGACTGACAGGAATGAACAGTCCACCCCTGGAAATGGTTAAACTGATACTCTAGTTTGTCCATCAATCTCTAGAGAGTCAGCTTGATCCAGGATTCTGATGCTGAGCCTGGGATTCTGGAAAAGAGTTTAGATTGAATTTCCAGCCTTCCATGGAGGAGGGAGACAACACCAGGTACTGGTCTGTAGGTGCCTGGCCTTTGGGAAATGGTGTAGGGCAATGATTTAGGAAGTGTGACTGGAGAATGACACCAGTCCTGGCCCAGCACTGCCACTTACTGGAGGTGGACCTTGTGCAAATCTTTAACCTCTTGGTACTGCCATTTCCTCCTTATTCTTGGGGAATAATAATACTGGTTAGTTCACAGACTTCCTGTAATGAAGTTAAATGAGTTAAATGAATGAATTCAAGGCTTATTAAAATAGCACCTGTCATGGAGTAAGAGTTCAAGGAGTGCTCATGATCATATAACAAAGACTTAGAGGCTGCTCTGGCTAAAAACAGTGACTCTTGGGGCTGCAAATGGAAACGAAAGGCCAAATGAAAACTTGGCATCTCTGCATCTGACTCTTTTTCTCAGAGTCATTCTCCTTTTTTTTTTTTTGGACTGTCTTACTATGTTACCCAGGCTGGTCTGGAACTTCTGGACTCAAGTAATCCTCCGGCCTCAGCCTCCCAAATAGCTAGGACCACAAGTGCAGCCACCACACCTCCAAGATTTCTTATTGCATCTCTCTCTCTCTCTTTTTTTCACATTTTGAATTTTAAATGTATTAATGTAAAATGTCTTCAAAACTTCATTAATTATTTGGCTAAAAACTGGTACAGAATTCCTCTCAGGGAAAGAATAGTATTTCATTTGGCCAGAGGTTTTTTTTTTTATTTTTTTATTTTTTAGTTCTCGGCGGACACAACATCCTTGTTTGTATGTGGTGCTGAGGATCGAACCCGGGCCGCACGCATGCCAGGCGAGCGCGCTACCGCTTGAGCCACATCCCCAGCCCCTGGCCAGAGTTTTATAGGTCATTTTATTTATGGAAGAAGAGTCACAAAGGCATGGCTTGGAAGGCAGAAGGTGAAAAGTTAAAACCAAATTGCTCTGGGTAAAGAATTAGGATTTGGGGATTTCCCTGCATATCCTGGGAGAAAGGGTGAGAGGGCTCAGAACAGGGAGGAGAGCTGCTCTTTAGAGAACCAACAGAGAGATGAAATATGGAAGCAGGTGGCAAACTCTGAGCAAGTCCTGGGAGTGAGAATGGTTCCAGGTGTTTTAAGAGCAGAGACAGCTAATGTTTTAAGTCTAATTTGGGTCATTTACTGTGCTAGGCTGAGATGAGATCGCTTCTGTGACTTTCAAATTATAAAGTCCACTGCACATAAATGTCACGTGGGTTAACATAGAACCAAGAGAATAGACCTGCCCTTGGCTGATAGTTTGCTCAGCTGCCTGTTTTTATAGCTACAACAATCGGATGAACCAATATGGTAATTCATAGGCATAACCTTGTTAGTTCTGGGCCCTGGTGTGAAGTTTCCTACTTTTCCCCCTTTCATGTTGACAGTATTCAATACCCAGAGACCAGATCTCAGACAACCAGTTATGGGGCCTGAATCCTTGATTATAAGATAACTTTATTTCTTTCATAGCATTTAAATGTCTTCAATAATTTTTTACTTTTTTTTTTTTTTTTTTTTTTAGTAATTTCTTTAATGGTTGCCTAGGAGTTTCCTATCTCTTATGAAAAACAGCTTCACATTTGTACCAACTTAACTCCAATGATAGAAAGAGAATTTTGGTCCTAGCCAGGCGCAGTGGCGCACACCTGTAATCCCTGAGGTTCAGGAGACTGACGCAGGAGGATCGAAGTTCAAAGCCAGCCTCAGCAACTTAGTGAGGCCCTATCTCAAAATGAAAACTAAAAAGCCTGGGGATGTGGATGTGGCTCAGTGATGAAGCCCTGCTGGGTTCAATCCCTGGTACCGAAGAAAAGAAATATTAGTCCTACACAGTCTATTCCCCTTTGCTTTCCTTTTTTGGGGGGTATTATTGTTATACATAATTTTACAATGTATTGTATTTTGTAATATTAATTTAAATATAATTTTATGCCCTTTAATAAAGTTGAAAGCAAAAAGGAGAGCTTTTTTTAAATCACTTTTGTTATGTTAAACTTCTTTTTTAAAACTTATTATTTCTGGTTCACCAATAAATCTATCATAATCTTTAAAAAAGAAAATAACTTTGGCACCTGTGGTTTTCATTTTCAGTGTCATCTAGCTTACACCTGCCTTCTTAGGTCTTCCATTGCATTCTCTGTGGACAGCTGTGTGTGCTCTGCTTCTAAGGAGTTCCATGGGACTGCAGCACAGTGGACCCTGGGCTCACTGGCAGCCTATAGGACAATCTGGGAGTTGAAGGACCTCCTTGCCTGCTTGTGCCTCACCATCTGATTCTGTCCCCTGCAACTTCACACCCTTGGCTCTGACCACACTAGTCTCCTGCGTCATAATCCCCAGTGCTGCTTCTCCCCTTGTTTTGTCCTCAGCCATGTGCCTCCTCCCTCCTTTCCCTTTGCCCCCTCCATCTCGTGCTTTAAACCCAGACTTCTCCATGAAGATTTGCCTGACCCCTAGAGCATCATGAGCTCCTGCCTCTCATGTCGACCCATTCTTATGACCCATTGTCAGGCAAATGCTACTGCCTGGGGTTGCCAGCTTCCTTTTCATGTGTACCCCAATAGTGCCGATCCTGACTAATGTGCAAACACTGAAAAGATAACTGAACAAATTGCAAAAGCCAATGTCCTGAGTCACCATCTCTGATCAACTCTGGAGGTAGAGCTTACTATGAGACTTTCCCCGGAGCCCACGCTGGGGTATGGGTGATGCATGATACAGCTGAGGGCATTTGGCTTCCAGGAACCCAGAGACTTTTTGGCTCTCTCTACCTCTGAAAGACTTTTCTACAGAAAGAGCCCACCTTTCTCATGATGCACTTTATAGGAGATCAATGTGTATTTCTCAACTCTCCTCTCAGGCTTTCTAGTGTTTTTTTCTCACAAATATCTTCTCTCCAATTAGAAATCAGACTCCTAGAGAGAGAGAATTATTCACTAAGAATTGAATAATGATCCAAGCCCTCATCTATCCTCTTTCTCATCCTCCAAGTGCCTGTTTTCCTCTTTCTATATCTATAGTGGCAGGAATTGGCAAAATGTAAGGGATTGAGGAGGGCGCAGTGATCCATGCCTGTAATCCCAGCAACTCTGGAGGTTGAGGCAGAAGGCTCTCATTTGAGGCCAGCCTTAGCAACTTACGGAGACCCTAAGCAATTTAGTGAGATCCTGTCTCAAAATAAAAAATAAAAACGAGCGGGGGCTGAGTTTCAGTGGTAGAACACCCTGGGTTCAATCCCCCAGTGCAAAAAGTTAGGGAATGAGGCAATGAGCATGACGTCTGCTGAGCTGGCCACCCGCCTCAGCTGGCCCTGCACCTCAGTGCATGCTTTCAAACACTGGCCTTTGCAGGGCCTGCCTGTCCCCAGTAGTGTGATGGCAATACAGAGGAATGTTGCAGTCCAGACATCCCTGTTGAAACTCTCCAGGCCACCAAGGACAGAAAGTTAAGAAAGGATATCCAAAGATGAGGAAGTAAATCAAGTGTCTGGGAAAAGACACAGGCCTGGAAGAACATAGAAGAATCTGAGCAGTAGGTGCTGAAAGAGGCCAGCTTCTTAAGTGTCATCTTCTTTTACTATTAGGCTCTCTGTGCCTGTGCTGCCATTCATAGGTCAGGGCCATTCATGGCTTTCAGTGCAGTGGGACCCACCAGAGTAAGCTTCAGGAAACTGAGGGCTTGACTCAAATAGCTCAATCACTACACTTGGGGAATCAGTGCCTGGCGTGTAAAATAAAGGGACTAGATTCAAGCTATGTGCTATCTTAAAACCCATATCTCAGTGATGATTTCTCCCCCTTCCTCACACTTCCAGTGGCCAAAAAAATGGATCTTATATTCCATGATTAAGATTATGAAAATATTAATTTTTTGCATATGCATTTGATAAGTAGTATATGGTCCTCTCCCAACCGATGCTTGAAACAGATTCCCATCTGCTCTATCAGCTCTCCACTGAAACTCATCTATGTTTAACTTCCCATCCTAACTTGTTTTCCTATGATTCGCCCCCTTAAAAAAGTGGAATGGAAAAAAAAAAAAATCCCAATTATTTGGATTCCGTTCATTGAGGCTTTACTGTAGGACGCCACGCAGAACCCTCCAGCTTTGTGAACATGCAGTCTGCAATCTGGATACCTTTTATTTAATTTCAACAATTCCCTTTGCACGGCAAAAAGGGGTCTGAGGAAAGCAGAGGAGCGCAGATGAACAGAAGGGCAGAAGCAGAGCGCTCACAAAGGTGATGCGGCAGAGTGCTGGCCGCCCACCGCGCTCCGGTGGCTGGGAGAGAAGCGGGATCCATGGGAGGAGCAGGAAAAGCCATTTTTGACACAAAAAAAAGGGTCCTGGGGCATGCCACCCCACCCCAGTGCCTGGCCATGCAAGACGCTGAAATGGAGACTGTGGCCCCTGGGGCCGTGGTGCCCAGAGCCACGGAGCGATGCACCAACACGTAAGGGAGTCCTTTGCGCGCTTCCCAAGGCGCCTGCAGGGTCAGAGCATAGTAGTCTGTGTCCATGTCCATGAGCATGGTCAGGTAACAGATAGCACCAATTGGGAGGCCCAGGGCAGGAAAGAGACTGAGGCTCGAACTCTAGCACCCACTTGTGCAGCCCTCCTGGGCAGAGACTCATTCCTTGGTGGCTGCTTGGGCAGCAAAGGCCTCTCCCTCTCCCCTGGAGAATTGGAGAAAATCATCAGGGGAGGTCTGACCCAGAGCACCGCTGCCTCTGGAGGGCGGGGCCTCACTGTGCAGTGAAAAGCTGCTGCTGCACCGGATTGAGGGACTGGAGGCGGGAAGGACAGGCTGGGGTGAGCACGCTACTGCCCAGGCGTCTCTCATAGAAAGAGCCTTCTGGAGCACGAATCTGGGCATCTTTGTAGCCAATCTGTTCCCCACCCCCAGTAACCCAGGAGTTGGCCCCTGATGCTTTTAATTTTGGGGGAGGGGGTGTCAAGGGAAGGAAAGAGACCAGGAAGGCCAGGCCAGAGTGGTCTCAGACGACGGAGGTAGGCAGTGTGTGCGGTGGGGACACTGCGCTGGGCCGGAGCCCTGGTGCGGCTCCACCACGCTCTTCTCGTGTGATCTTGGGTAAACCATCTCACCTGTGTCTCACTTTCCTCAGTTACCACGTCAGGAAAATCCTACCCCACCTATCAGAGGGATAGGCTAAGGGTGAAAATAGATAACGGATAGAAAACACTTTTAAAAAAGTATAAAGCGCTATTCAAACGCGAGGCAGTGTTGTCATCGTGAGGAGGTTACCCTTAGCGCATCCCTCAGCTCACCAGTGACCTTGGCTTCCTTTACAGGGCGTCTCCTAACCTTAGGATTATATTTCCTTATTTCAGAAGGGTTTAGAGACTCCCTGGTCACTTCCCCTGATCACAACAATCTGCGGCCCCAGTGGCCAATAGGCACACTAGGTGGGCCGAGTGTGTCCAATGATTCTCACCTCCTTGCTGTCCCTCTGGCATCTTCCTGGGTGGCGCGCTCCACCCTATGAGATGAGGTGGGCTGTCCATTCTGGCTGGACAAGCCTAGGGTACCCCTGTCCAACCCTCAGGGGAACCCTAAATGGAGTGCAATTTCTGTGCCCGATTTCCAGCAGGTGGTGAGAAGAGGGCGGGAAGGTGCACCAAGAAGGATGGGGCAGGATGGTAGGTCCTCCGGAGCCCCTCGCCCGCCCCTGGCTCCATTCTGGCCCTCCCCCGCCCCCAGCCCAGCCCTAGTCTCGCTCGGGTGGGGCCTGGAGCGGCCGAGGGGCATTAAGGCCCGGGCCGCCACTGTGCACACGCAGGTGGTCCTTGAGTGACTCCTTGTAGCGGAAGCTCTTTCCGCACTCTCCGCACGTGTAGGGCCGCTCGCCCGTGTGGATGCGCTGGTGCTTGAGCAGGTTCTGCTTGCGGATGAAGCTCTTCCCACAGAGCGCGCACTGGAAGGGCCGCTCGCCTGTGTGCAGCCGCTGGTGGTTCTGCAGGTGCTCCTTGCGGCTGTAGGTCTTCTCGCATTCGGAGCATTTGTAGGGCCGTTCACCCCGGTGCGTCATCTGGTGGCGGATGAGGCCCGAGTGGCAGTTGAAGCTCTTCTCGCACTCGGCGCATTCATAGGGCCGCTCCTTGGTGTGGCTGCGGTGGTGGATGATGAGGCTCTTACGCACGCCGAAGCTCTTGCCACACTCGGGGCACGAGTAGGGTTTGCTGCGTGCACCATGTGCCAAGAGGCTCCGCCGCAAACCACCGGGGCAGCAGCTGCCGCAGCCTCCACCTGCACCAGTACCACCACCAGTGCCACTGCCGCCGCCGCCGCCGCCGCCGCCACCACCACCGCCACCACCGCTACCACCGCCACCTCCGCTGCCACTGCTCCCTGCACTGCCTTCCCCACCTGGTGGCGCCTCGCCCACGGTGCGCTCCCCTGGGAGGGCTGGAAAGCCCTCATCCAGCAGCCCCCGGCTCCCGGGGCCACCAGGGTTCTCAGGCACTGCCAATGCCGGCAGGCTCTGCTGGTGAGGCTGAGGCTGGGGCTGGGGCTGAGCAGGGGCCTGGGGTGGGTTCTTCACCAGTAGCAGGCTGTCACCTGGGGGAAAACAGGAAGAAGTGACATACTGACAGTGCTCTTACTTGGGACCCCACACTGTTCCTGAGAAAGGGACCAGGTCACAGGCTATCTGGGCCTAAGTTTTTCTAAAAATGAGGAGATTGAGCAGATGACAGGTGGCTGTCTGTATGGCCCTCTGCCTGACGAAGTCATGTGCTGGGAAGCACTAGAAGCAGCCAGGCAGGTGGCAGGTGGGGACAGGAAAGCCTTCCAGGAGGCTGAAGCTAAGGGGTAGGGGCCTGTAATCCAAAAGCCACCTTGAAAGGTACACTGCCTGGAAATAATTAGACTTAATTGCAATCTAATGAACAATGATAATTTATCTCTGGAGATTCTCTCAATGGTAGGAAAAGAACTTGCCAGAATTTTCCACAGTAAAAATCAGTCTAGAGGTCTAAAGGAATGTAATAGAGGGAGCTGGGACCACAGTTAGCCCAGATGGATCTGTAGTCAGGGCAATAACAGGCTGGGCAGCTGGGCAGTGTGAGTGCCACCCAGGCCTGATGGCCCCTGGCTCCTGACAACGCAGCCTGCTGCTTTTCTTTGCACACCGGAGTCTCCAGGCCACTAGGCCACAGCTCTCCACTGCCTTGGGGGCTAGTGGGACACAAAGTCCAAACCCTGAGCATCAGAACAGTGTCTTTAGTGCCCAACCCAGGAGGCACCCAAGTGCTCCTTCTGTTTAGATGTCTTCTTGTGCCTCCACTTCTGCCTGCTCCCTCGTCTCTAGCTCCAGCCTGGAAAAGCCCCATCTACCACTTAGGGGCAGCCTGTGGTGGAACTGTGAAGAAGTTGGTCCCACTCCCACTTCTTGGTGTATCTTTCAGTGCTCCCACTTCTGTCCAGGCCCCAACTGAAGCCACCTCCCAGACTGCGCCTGCCCTGTTTCCACCCCACTCTCCATACTCAAGACCTGCTCTGAATGCCTGTAACAGGTCAGGCCCAGCACCACACCACCACCACCACTCCACCCAGCCAGGCAGACAGCTACCTCTATGGGACACTGGCAAGGCCAGAAGCAAAATAAAGTTTGCCTGCCTCAATTCAGGATGTCTCAGAATGGCCATGCCAGCTCCGGGGCATTCTGGGCCATTGGCTATGGCCCTGTATAACTGCATTGAGTCTTTGCCACTCCTTCTACTCTACCTGGCTACTCTTTATTCCTTCACAGATGCCTTTCCCAAAGGGTGGCAAAGGAACTATGGGTTCATAGCCCTCTGGAGATGCTTCCCTTGGAAGCCAACCTAGGACATTCCTACCCAGACTAAGTCTTCAAACTCAGCATGAGCAGCAGTCCAGCTCTCACTGTCTCGCCATGTTCCATGCACCCAGACTTTGTTCTCTCTGCCTTACCTAACTTGGCTCTCCAGGACAATCCCTCCATGGCAAAAACTTGTCGCATTTTGCTCTTCTCCCCAGTGTGCTTCCCTGGGGAACCCCAATTCTGTGACTGCACTCAAGTGCCTGAGGCTACTGCAGAAAGCTGCAGAACTCTCATAAGGAGACCGTATGCTGCACTGTCTTGGCTTTTTTCTCTAGTGGGTTCTGCTTTTCCTTTCTACCATAATCATGTCACATCACCTCCTCCTCCAATGGTGCCCGCTCAGGCATGGCCAAGAGGGCTTCTCCTTGATTTCCTGTTAGTAATTAATTCAGATATAAGCATGCGATTGAGTTCTGGCAAAGGGTGTGAAAAGTTTGCTTCTTTAACTCTCTTTTTTGGGGGGTGGGAGTACTGGGGATTGAACCTAGGGTTGCTTAACCATTGAGCAACACCCCTAACCCTTCTTATATTTTTGGGGTCTCGCTAATTTGCTGAGGGTCTCGCTAATTTGCTGAGGCTGGCTTTGAACTCCTGATCCTCCTGCCTCAGCCTCTTGAGCTGCTGGGGTTACAGGCGTGTGCCACCACAACTAGCTTGCTTCTTTACTCTTGAAGGCAGTTCAATTAAAACCCCAACTGGGACCCCTTGTGCCCCAGCCCCAGCTGCCATCATTTATCGGCTCCTTTTCATAGCCACTTTAACTAAGAGTTTCCTAAACTTGCTTTTAGCACTTCTTTGCCTCCCTTCCCCCTTTTTATTAGGGTCAGGCATGTGCTCTCACCACTCCAATGAGAATGTTGTCAAGGTCAACAACACTCTCCAAAGCCCCCCTGTAGTGTATGTCCAACCTCTCATGGCTGTGACATAATCGGCCCCTCCCTCCCTCCCCTTCTCCCAGCTTTGGTAGGGCCATGCTCTTCTGGTTCCTACCAGACCTGGGCCTGGGATTTCTTTTAATTCTTTGTCAACACTGTCTCCAGAACTCACACGGTCCTTAGGCTTAAAACAGCCCATGTGTAATAATTTCACTGCCTTTGTCCTTGGTTCCTGGACCAGTCTCTAAATCCTTGGAATTTCCTGTGTTTTTGTTGCCCACAGTGGACTCTGATGGAGTGCTGATGATGAGGTGACTCACGGGCCTCTAAAGAATTGAAGTTACAAGCTGGGTGCAGTGGCACATGCCTATAATCCCAGCAGCTCAGGAAGCCAAGGCAGAAGGATCATGAGTTCAAAGCCAGGCTCAGCAATGGTGAGGCATTAAGCAACTCAGTGACCCTGTCTAGAGACCCTGTCTCTAAATAAAATACAAAATAGGGCTGGGGATGTGGCTCAGTGGTCAAGTGCCCCTGAGTTCAATCCCCAGAACAAAAAAAAAAAGGGTTGAAGTTAATAAGATGACTCAGGATGGAGCTGGCCATGCCAGAAAGATCAACCATATGATAACAGGGTTGGGGCTTCCAGTGCAATCTCCAGGGAGAGGAAGAGGGCTAGAGATTGAGTTGAGCCTCTTGGTCAGTGACCCAGTCAGTCATAGCTACAAAAATCCAATAAGCACTGTGACCAGTGATGCTCAGGCATGCTTCCCTGGTGGGCAACACTCCACATACTGTCACACATCAGGGTGCTGGGAAGGTGATATGTCCTGACTCCATAGGGAACAGACAATGGGAACTTCATGATTAGGACCCTCCCAGACCTAGACTTATGATTCTTCCTTTGGCTGGGTCTGATTTAAACCCTTTGGCTATAATAACATTGCAATTATAAATGTGGCAAGCTTCTGAATTTTGTGAGGCTTTATATAGCACATGTTTGAACCAGCGGGAAAGTGGGAACCCAGAATTTGTAGCTAGCCGGTCAGAAATGCGGGTGGCTTGGGATCCCCATGCTGGTGGCTGTACCTGAAGGGAAGGCAGTGTTGTGCAGTACAGTGGCCTCAACTGGTGAAGTGTGGCCTAATGTGAAGTCACTGCAGCCTATAGCTCCCAAATCAATTCAGCTCTGAGCTCTCTCTTGAACTTCAGACTCCCATGCTCATCTTGGACACTGCCACTTGGATGTGACCTCATATCTCAACAGGTCCTAACTGGGATAGTTGGTGTCCACAGCTACCTGGCTGTTTCCCAGGATGCGCACTTCAGCAAGGGGCACTGCATTCACCCACTTCCTCAGGCCAGACCCAGGAGTCATTCTTGGGTCCTCACCCCACCTGCACCCATCATCCACAGCTCCAAAGGCTTCCTCCCCATGTGCACTGCTGCTGTGCCAACTCTGACCAACCACCCTCTCTTCACCAGCACTAGAGCAGAGCTACCAGCCTCTGAAACACCTCCTTGTTTCCTCAGCTTTGGCTCAATCCACACCCACCCCTTGTCCATGCCTGAACTGACCTTGTGAAAATGGAAACCAGATCCTGTCACGATCCTGCGGAAAACCCTCTGCTAGTCTCCTTTGTTGTTAGAACACAATCCAAACTCTAACTTGGCTCCTAAGTTCTGCCTGCCTTCTCAGCCTCACCCCCAAAGCCTCCTGGGCCTTTGCCATGCTCTCCCTCGCCTGGTCCACTCTTGTAGACAATCTATGGCCAGCTCCTTCTCAGGATGCTGAGCACACTCAGCTCTCACTTCCCTGGGAGGCATTTCCTGGGGGCTCTGCTCAGAGCCCTGCTGTGTCCCTTCCTCCTGTTTTCCTGGCCCATCACCCTCGGGGCACTTGCCACAGCCTAGCTTTGCCCTGGATGCTCAGAAGGAAAAGTCTTTCTGACCTGCTTACTCTCACGCTGAGACACACAGGGCACAGAGTGGGCACTAAGGAAACACTGGCTAAATAAACAGAAAGTAGAGAAGGTTTTGGCCCCAGGCAGTGAATAATGTGGGCTGAGATCAAGGGGGCACTTCCAAAGCACATTCTGTGGATGTGGGTACCTGGATAAGGTAGCCCAGCTACAGTGTAGCTGGCCACCATTCCTTCCAGAAGCACATGGTAGTCACTGGGCTCCAAAGTCCTATTCAGAGCTCCTGCTTTGCACATTAACTTTGGATGAGGTGGATTTTTACCCTGTTTACACTAACTGAGAGTAGAGACTCAACACATACTCGTTAATAGGTAAAATCAGAAATCTCTTTTACTAAATTGTAACGTCCACTTAGGTAGCGGTCTGACTTTAGTCAAGCAGGACACCAGTTCCTCCTCTTGCATAGCCAGAGCTGGGGAAGAAGGCTGGCAGACACAGGTCTCGCCTACCACCCTCTCCCCTTATAACCCCAGTCCAAAAGACTCTTTCACATAATTTTAAGAGTCCTTCCGGGTCTGGGGATATGCTCAAGCAGTAGCACGCTCACCTGGCATGCACGCGGCGCTGGGTTTGATCCTCACCACCACATAAAAATACAATAAAGATGTTGTGTCCACTGATAAAATATTAAAAAAAAAAAAGAGTCCTTCCATCTGTCCCTGGCAACACCACACTAGGTTGGCTTTAAACCTCAAAAGAAATGACGGCTGATATACTAGTTTCAAATTCCAACATTAATAAGCAGGAGGCAGGCTCCCTTTGGAAGACAAGAAACAGGACCTGATAGATAGACTATCATGACTTGCATGGGGAAAGACATTTCCAGATACTCCTGTCTCTCTGATGCTGGGTTCAAAGGCATCCCAAAGATAAAACAGGACAAGGCAAACTGTCCTATGGGTTGTCAAAGCCAAACCAAAGTAGGAAAACGGACTGGTCATTTGCAAAGCCTGGCAAGCTCTCCAGGGGCCTTCCTAGATCTGTCCCCAGCCCTGTATGGTCCCAGGCAAAGGCTACTCCAGGTAGACTACTCATAGCCAACCTGGAAGAATTGGAAAGTAGCACCGAGGACCAGGGCTGGGGCAGAAGCTCCTGGCAGGGCCTGATGAGCTGGTCCTGTGGCTTCAAGGCCAGAGCTAGGGTGGTGGCCAGGTTAGGGAGGGGGCTGCTGTTGCTCCCTCTTGTGCTGTGTTCAGTCTCCTGGCATTCCTTGTCATCCCACCATGTCAACAGGTACAAAGAGTTCTGCTCTAAATCCCATTTAAACCAAGGGCAGGCACTGTTCTCTCATCCAAACTGTTCCTCCAGTTTCTGAAAGACTGCCACCAACACATCACCCCAAAAAGGGGAGGCTGAGGCAAGCAATCCTGGTCAAAACACCCAGGGATCCTGATGGAGGGCGCATTACTCACTGGGGCCAGAGTCCAGTCCAAGCTCTCCTTCCATTGTGTCTCGAGGGCCCCAAGGATACGGCTGCTCCTCCTGCTTGATCCAGGACAAAATGTCATGTGCCGAGATGAGAGACTCTATTTTCAGGAAAGAAGGTTCATTATACTTCATTCTCTCCCAGCTGTTATCCCACAGAAGGATGGAAAGCCATGCAGAGGCTCTGGCCATGTGGAAGGTGGTGTCTTGGGCATCCATGCTATATTTATGGGGTCCTTCTTGCCCTCTCAAGCCTTCCTACATGGGCTCTCACTCATGCTACACAATTTAAAGCTGCCAGAGAGGAGGAAGCTCATCCCAAAGCCTGGGCAGCAACAAAGTCAGACTGGAACCCAGGACTTCCAACTGTCCACTGAGCCCCAGAGGGATGGGGCCAGGCCAGGCCAGAGGAAGACTCAGCTCTGATGGCCCACAGTGCCATGGCTGATTGGTCTGACTCAGAAATTTGGTGATGCAGAACCAGCAATCAAAGCCACTGACAAGACCCATGTGAAGCCTGAGGACTCTTTACCAGGGAGACTCTGCTCCACCATCTGCCCTGGGTCCCTTTAATTTCTCCCTTGATAAGTTGAAAAATTACAAAGATCCTTAGACTTTGCTTCTCATCCTCTCTTCCTGGTATGGGGGCTGGGATAAGACTTTGGTGCCAGAGCTTCCAGAAGGGATAACAGGGGACCTCCCCAGCTCTGCCAACGTTCACAAGTCACAGAGCCCAATTGGGTGAGCCTGCATCAGATTGTCAAAACTTGGTGCTAGGCCCCGGCTTCAATCCCCAGCACCACAAAAAAAAGAAAGAAAGAAAAATTGGTACTACGGTCATTTTAGTATCAGTTCCATTGATATAGTAAATGATTTCTTTGACCTCAATATTCATTCTGACATTTTCCTCACCTGAATTGGGGTCTGTGGGAATATCTCTTTCTGCCAAATCCTGCTGGTCCCATACGCACTGCTGCTCTTCCTGCTTAATCCGGGACAAGAGGTCCTGGGCAGAGATGGGGGAGTCTATTCATGGGAACAAGAGCAGCAAAGGTGTTAATGAAATGAAATCATCACCAGTTTGTGTTTTGAGTAAATCTATGATTTCATGCAATTATCTGTTTCCCCTAAAAATCAGGCATGTATGTAACTAAATTATTCTAATTAGCCAAAGAGTCAAGTCATTCTGGACACAGACAATGTATCTGTGATTGTAAATTAGTAGATTCCACAGGGGAATGACATAACAGTGACTTTAAGGTACAAGGTGTCTTTGTGCTCCAAAGACAATTTCCTAGAATGAGGTACCCATTCTATTGCTGCGACCACTATGAGAGGAGGGATCCTTATGAGGGCATTTCCCAGGAAAATGACCCCTTTCAGGAAGTTTTTTATCTTAGTCATTTGAACAGGACTTTTCTAAGATGAGAGAAAAGATCCCACATCCTCTTTCTTCCACTATTAAACCCAATTTACCTTTTATTGCCTTCTTATCTCCAGGTCTCTCTAAAGAGAGCAATACTTGGTGTTTTCCAGAATTTCCTGATGCCCAGGGAGAAACAATTCTTTTCCTAGATGCTACTATCACTTGCTTATGGGTCTGAGGCTTTGCCTAAGGGAGTCAAGGTATGGAGCTCTAACGAGTGGATGAGGAGGGAGCCACAGTATGTTAATCTATCTTGTGATGGTTGCTTCTGTGTATCAACTTGGGTTGGCCAGATATTTGGTCAAATGTTATTCTAGATGTTTCTATCAAGTATGCTTTTTGGATGAGATTACATATGAAGTCAAAATGTGGGTAGGCTTCATTCAACCTGAAAACTCTGATAGAAAAGATGGAGTTTGCCAAGGAAAAGGAACACCTTCAGCAGATGGCTTGAGGCTTGAGCTGCAGCATCAGCTCTTCCCAGGCCTCCACCCCTGGCCTGCTTGGGAACTGCAGACTTGCTCGCCTCCACAATTGCTAAGCCAATCCCTTAAAACAACCTCTCTCTCTTTACACACACACAAACACATACAACATTGGTTCTGCTGCCACGTCAAACTCTGACTCTCACACACACCTGCTACAGAGCCCAGCTGGAATGCCATCGGGAGCAGCTCCCCCAAGATGATACTTGGGCAAAGCACTGAAAAGTCTTCTGGGTCAGGGGGCAGGTTTTACTGGTCTCTATATTCTGTCCCCAGCAAGTCTAGTAAAGTGCCTTGCACTTAGTACTTTGGCAGTGATACCAGTTTTTGTTTGTTTGTTTGCTTGTTTTTGGTACAGGGGTGCTTACCCATTGAGCCACATCCTCAGCCCTTTTTATTTTTTATTTTGAGACAGGTTCTCGCTAAGTTGCTGAGGCTGGCTTTGAACTTGTGATCCTCCTGGCTCAGCCTCCCAAGTCACTGGGATTATAGATGTATACTACCTTGCCCGGTGGTGATACTGTTCTTAAGGAAGAGGAAAGATAGTCCAAACCTAATAATAGAAAGATGAGTGCAAAGAGAACAAGCAAAGCCTGGGCATAGTCATGAACTGTCAATGCTGTGTGCCATGTCAGCACCCCTAGAGAGATCCTGCCTTGGCCCAGTCCTGCACCCGCAGTGTGCTTTCATTGCTGGTGCAGCCTCTGGTCTGGCACGCACACAGACGCCCCTGGAGTTATGAACGGTGCACACCCCCTGCACTCCCATCTTGGGCTGGAAGGCTGTTGGCTCACTCACCCGTGATAGATTCTGTGGGGATGGCTCTTTCCTCCAGGCCCCGCTGGCCCCGGACACACAGAGCTCCTTCTCGCTTCACTTGGGAGGATGCATCCTGTGCAGGCACCAGGGGTTCTGTTCCTGCAGACAGAGAATCACACTATTTTTCCGTATACCAGTCACCAGCACGTTTGGGGTCAGGAGCACGGCTGCCCGCACTTGCAGGCGAGAGCAGGGGTCTCCGGTTCTGGATGACCCTGGGGAATAGAAGGTCCCAACAGAGAAGCGACCAACATTCAGAAAAAGGGGCAGGCAAGCAGCAAAATGAGGTGTAAGAGGGTTAGAAAGACTGGACACAATCCCACACCATACGACTCGGGTAATGAAGACTTGGCCAGGTGTTTGACCTCTGACTGCAGTGATTTGTCCTTGCTTTTCACTGAAGTGGCCAGAAACCGACATACACGTGCATGTTTGTGTGCATATATATGTATGTAAATATATATTTACACACATACAAATCATACATTTACATGATCTGATTAGTTGCAGGCAGGTTGGGCAGAGGCACAGCTAAGCCTTGATGCTGGGTGGGTAAAGCACAGCATCCTTAAACATAAAAGAACACATCCTTTAGTAGAACCCAAGATGTGGCGAAAGGGCAGTTTCCTCTTCTGGTATTCTACTGTGCAATGTACTAGCTCCTGGCAGTTGACACTTAGGCAATAGAAAGAGACTTGGTGAGGAATCTGAAGATGGGGATCCTGGTTTCAACTCTACCGACTCAGTGCATGAGTCATTTCACTCTCTGGGTTTCAGCTGCTGCTGCTTCTATAAAATAGGCAAGTGGTCCCTGTGCTCAGTCCCAAGATGGTTTGATAACTCAATGAAATTGTGGACTTTATGGTGCCTGAAATGTAAAAACTACCACATAATACTAGAGACTGCATGGACAGCTGCTGAACTCAGACATCTGCAGTCTTGATGAAGACGGGGCAGGAGTCACTGAGCCAGAACGGCCAAGAGGCAAATCCATGGAGACAGAGAGATTCGTGGTTGCCAGGGCTGGGGCAAAGGGGAGAGGGCAGTGGCTGCTAAGGGGTATGAGGTTTCTCATGATGAAAACGTTCTGGAATTATACAGTAGTGACGATTGCACTCAGTTAACTACTGAATTATATACTTTAAAAGGGTGATTTTTTTTCAGTTGTCAATGGATCTTTTGTTTTATTTATTAATATGTGGTGCTGGGGATCGAACCCAGGGCCTCACACAGGCCAGGCCAGCACTCCACCACTGAGCCACAACTCCAACTCCTAAAAGGGTGATTTTTTTTTTTTTTTTAACATGTTGTGGACCTTTATTTTATTCATTTATTTATATGTGGTGCTGAGAATCGAATCCAGTGCCTCACACAGGCTAGGCAAGCACTCTACTGCTGAGCCACAACCCCAGCCCTAAAAGGGTGATTTTTATTGCTCATAAATTTCATCTTGATAAAAGAGCGGGGCATAGTAGTGCATACCTGTAACTCCAGTTACTTGGGAGGCTGAGGCTGAAGGATTGTGAGTGTAAGTCCAACCTGTATAACATAGTGAGACCTCATTGAGAGAGAGAGAAGGTTGGGAAAGTGAGGCAGGGGGCTGAGGGTGAGTGTTCATGCTGTTGGGCAGAGGACTGGCTGGAGGGCCAGACTTCACCCTGTCAACACTGCTGCTTGGAGAGCTGAGGCCCTGGGGACTCAGCTGAGACTAGAACCCTGGTGCCTTCTGTCCCAGTTTTTGAATGCTGGCCAGGTGGGCTTCCCAGGGAACCGATTCCTTTAGGACTTGAGGTTCTTTGGTGAGTGAGGAAAGAGCATCACAGGGTAAGTGTGCGCAGGAGGTGTGTGTCTGGGCAAGAATGAGGTGTGAGTGAAACCGCAGATACAGCTGGGCAAGGAGCTGGGCCCAGCGGAACTGCGCCTTCACAGCAGACTCCCCTTTCACCTCCGTCAGCCTCCTGGATCCGAGGCAGGGAGCCTCTGGTGGCTCCCAGGCTTAAGTTCTCTGCTCCCCACCAGGCCTGGGAGGTGTCACAAGCCCACATACTTTCTTGACTCTCCACCCAGCTTACCTGTGAGTCCAAAGCTACACAGCTTTAATAAACCAAAAGATAAGTGTCCATGTTGAGATTTCAGGCCCCAAGACCTCTTCCTGTAAGGGACCACCACATTCCAACTGCAGCAGAACTGGCCCCCAGGAGGACTCAAGACACTCCCTCTGCCCAAACACCGTAGCGCCCCCAGCCTGGTGTATAGGCCACCCGGCTCTCCTCTCCTGCCCTCCCCTGGACCTGGCGCTCTCTTTGGCAGCCCTTACCTGTGTCTGTATCTACTGGGATTTCTCTCTCTTCAGGGTGACGTTGCTCCCACACGCAAGGCTCTTCCCTGGGCTCCACCGGGGCTGGAGCATCTGGCTTGGGCACGGGGCCATCTGTGTCTGGAAGTGAGAGGGAAGGGAAGGAAGTTGGCCAGTGACCCCAGATCCAGGATGACGGGGGAGCTGTCTGCCAGCCACCCCTCCACCTGAGCACCCCTCTGCGTGGCAGCAGTCACATAGCAAGGTAGGTAACCTCTTAGGAGGAACCTTGAAGACAAGCAGACAGATTCCCAGACCTCTAGTGTGGAAAGAGCTGGTCTCCGAAAGCTGACGTCACATGAACTTGGGCTTATCCCAGCTGTTGGGAAGGAGTGTGTAGTGAGGTGCAGATGTGAGATTTTCCTGTCTTCTAAAATAGTAGTAGTGCACAGAGAATTTAAGGCGAGAGCCCTGTGGCCAGGCATTTATTTTCACCCTGTTATAAACTGTCTTTCCATTAGGCTGACACACCCCCTCCAGAGACAGCTCACCGGTGGAGAGGGGAGGTGTCCTTACCCAGGGACATCAGTGTTTTGTAGTTCTCCTTAACCAGGTTGTTGTAGAGCTCCTTCTGCCACTCGTCCAGGTTCTTCCATTCGTCCTCAGAGAAGTAAACCGCAATGTCGACAAAAGTCACAGGGACCTGGGACAATAAGGGTTTCAGCCTCGTGCCTGCTGCCCACCTCACTGGCTCCGCTTCTCCTGCGCAGTAAAGGAGCCACCCCGACCCAGAGCCCGGCCTGCACTCTGTGCGTCCCAACCTCTGGATCCCAGCCCACGGCAGCCCACTTCGGAATTCTATCCCCTGGACCTCTTCTTGTGCTTCCAACAGCCTTGATGGTCAACTTTGCCCACGCACTTTTAAAAAAGTATTTAGCGATGTCCTTTGTTATTTCACTTCTAGGTCAACTGGATTCCTAAAGGCAAAGCTGAAGTCAATGAGCCTCTCCTGGTGTATGGGATGACAGAGGTGTGGGAGGGTCTCAGAATGGGGATCGGTGACCCAAGTACCATAAAGCTCTTTGATGAAACCTGAATTTCAGGTCAGGTTACCCCTGAGGACACAGTTACATTTCTGTCACTAAAACTTGTACAATCCAAAGCCATGTATGTGTGAAAGCTCCAGGTCTTGGTGTGTTGTGCATGAGGAAGTGCCACTGTGGCCTGTCATCACTCATGTCAGTCACTTGCCAATTGAAGTGTTCTGATCTGTCACATAAAGCCGGGGTTTCAGTTTGACCAGGAACCTCGTGTGTACTCATCTCAGCCTTCACCAGCTCGACCTCACCTTGGACCAAATCGTTCAAATTGGTTTCATTTCTGTGATTTGAATCAGTGGACTTCCCTCTCTGACCGTTCGGGTCTCCCACTTACCACTTTCACATCTCTGCTGAACCAGCCGCTGCTCTCACTCTGAAATCCAGCCCCCCAATTCTCCTCCCTTCCCTAGTCCTCACCCATCAGTCTTTATACCTGCAATTACAGGGCCAAAACTGACCTGTATGGCACCTTGGTGCAAATGAGAAGGAGACAGCAGGGTCAGGTGCACAGCCTCATGAGGGGGCGGCACCTACATGCCAATTAGAAATGTCAGCCTTTGAGCCAGGTGCACATAATTCCTGCAAAGGTGATATACACAGCTGTGCAGAGTGGCACTGTCCCTACCAACAACTCACCATCCGTCTTTAAAACTCAGGCTTAGAAAATTGAGGAACATTGATGGGGCAAAGGGGAGTTTGCAGAGGGGTAGAAAAGATGGTGGAATGAGATGGACATCATTACTTGAGGTATGTATGACTGCAAATATGGTGGGATGCTACATCGTATACAACCAGAGAAGTGTAAAGTTGTGCTGCAATTGTGTACAATGAATCAAAATGCATTCTGCTGTCATATATACCTAATTAAAATTTTAAAAAATCAGGCTTAGAACTTTTAACTAGAGCTAGCACAGACATGGCCCCTTTTCTTCATTTTAAGTCCCTGTTCCTAGATAAAACTCATGAAATTCTGAAGAGAACATCTACCATGAATTCACATCATGTCTCAGGCTGCCCAGGAGTCTTTGGTGACCTCTGGTTAACATCCTGCTCTGTCCCTGAGGAGGCTGGTTTCAAACTTTCCACTGCTCCACAGCTTCCTGCACCTGCCTCTGTCTTTGACCTCAGGTAGAGACTGGCAAGCTGCTTCCTTGCCCTTTCCTTCTTGCCAAAGCAAACCTGCTGATAGGTGCCCTTTACTTCTCCTCTACCTTCTGCCCTTTCCTCTTTTGCATGTTCAGCTCCTCCTCTCTCCCACCGCCTTTCTCTTTTGGGTCATCCCAGGCTAAGAAAACCTTCACTCAAAGCTGCTACCTCTGGTTAATCTATTCTCAGTCTTCATTTGACACATTCTAAGGGACATACTCTGCTTGTGTCCTCCATTCTCTGAAACCACAGCCTGGAAGGTCCTGGGCCACCAGCGGCTGTAACCCTTACCCTTTCAGACCTCTTTGAAAGGTCAGTCCATCTTTCTAGAATTTTTGCCTGCTTGGTTCCCATTACTGTGCTGCCTGCTGTCCAACTGGCTCACATCTTCTTTACTGTTTCCTCCTCTTCTTCCAGGACGAGGCTCTGTCCCGACTCCTCCCTGCTTCTCCACTTTTCCACTGCTTTCTAGGCAGCGCCATTTCATTGTCTTTAAGTATCTCAAACTGAACGTATCCAAAGCCTATCTTTCCAACACACCAGCTCCTTTGCCTCACTTTACCATTTTTTTGGAAAATCAATATTCAGAATTCCATTCTCATGTGTAGGAACAGGCATCACTTTTTAATGACTTTATTGTGACAGGATATAACAGAAGTCTGAGGCCTGGTTTGAGACTGCCAGCAGCCTCTGATCCACCTGGACAGGAGAGACTACCCAGAATGAGCTAGGAACCAACTAACAGACACAAAAGAACCTGACAGGCCCAAAGAGATTTGACAGCATCCCTCCTAAATCCAGCAGATAAAGAAAACACACCTTGCACACCAAGAGCACATAATGAACCATAACTGTGGCCAGCAATGTGCATTAACATACTCATGGTGTTTTACAGTTGTGGTGGTTTTCAAATGTCATGAAATTTTGATAGTCCCTTCAAAAGGTGGAGTTGAATTCTTCTCCTGAGTATGGGCAGGACTTGGTAACTCACTTCTAACAAATATATAAAGAAGTAATAGTACACAACTTCTAAAACTGGTCATAAAAGACACTGCAGTTCCATCTTGGTCTCTCTGTCCTGGATCCCTCATGAGAGGGGGCATGGGTGTGGACACATTGTGAGGATGCTCAAGTAGTCCTAGTGGAGTCCACATGGTAAGGGACCTGCCAACAGCCAGGTGAGTGAGCTGTCTTGGAAGTAGACCTGCCAGCCACAGTCAAGCCTTCAGATAATCACACCCCCAGCCAAAAGCCAGAATGATTATTCAAGAGAATAATCCAGAAGTTCCCAACTAAGCTACTTCTGAATTCCTGACCCACTGAAACTGCAAACTGCAAGACGATAATTATTTTTTAGACTGCTACATTTATTACACGGCAATAGGTAACTAACAAGGACCCACAAATGTTTTCCATAAACAAAATCAATGCCTCCTCATAATTCTATGAAGCCAGCACAGTAGCGTCTCCATGCTACAGACGGTTAACACTGGGGCTCACAGCGATTAGCTACAAGTTTACTTAATTGCTCAGACTTCAATTCTTTAAAGAAGAATTGAGGAGGCTCAGAGATCATGAAAACACATGCTTAACGCACAGTAGAAAACCAGAAGTGGACAGTCAAGACTCAACCAAGTCCCCTGATTCCACGTCCCATAACCACTCCCTCATCATGCAGGGGCACACCACAGTTGAGATTCCGAGGCTTCATCCAACACAGAGAACACCTAACAGTGCTACATGAGGACAGAATGCTGAGTTAAAACACGTGGTACAGACAGGCGCAAAGGGCAGGGTGTAAGTAGATGCTGATTGTAATAGACAAGCAACATCTGCAAAATCCCACTCAATGCTGTGCAGAGAACAAAGCCCCTGTGACAATCCAGTATGTGAAGCCTTGATAAATAAATTCAAGGGGCAGCTCTGGCAAAGTTGATGGGTTGGGCTCCTTGCCACCCGCGGAGACATGTGAGACCTAGTCCCTTCCACGGAGCTGCTAGCTGTCCAGCTGGAGCGCCACCACCTTGGGCATACTGACTTTGAGCCAGGTGCCGTGACAAACACTTGAACCAAACAGAACTGACATTCTTGTCAGGGAAAGCCAACCAAGAAGCCAAAAAAAGGTGTAAATATTAAAGATGCTGATGGCATAAGTGCTCAGAGGAAGACCAAAGCAGGGACAGGCAACGGCATGCAGGAGGGACGTGGTTCTTCTCATAGGGTGGCTACAGAAGGGTCCACGATAAAGTGATGGCTGAGCAGACCCCTGAAGGAAGCCGGGAGGTTGGGGAGAAGCTATGCAGATGACCAGGAAGTGTCCAGGGAAGGAGCTTCTCAGTGGAATGTCCCTGAACTGGGAGCCTGTGTGGGAAGCTGGAGGACTGTCAGAGGCCAGGGTGTAATGGGGAGTGTGGTGGGGAACATATAAAACTTAAGCTTTTATTCTGAGTAAGATGGGAAGCCATTTGGAAAGTTTAGGTATCTGTGACCAATTTATATGTTAAAGGAATCACTCTAGCTGCTCTGTTGAGAGTAGACGGAATGGGAGAGGGGCAAGGGTGGAGACCAAGAGAACAGGCAGGAGCTGCAGCAATACCGAGATGAGGTGAGGTGTGGTCACACTGTACATGTATACTGGAAGGTGAGAGAAAGAGAGGAGACAAGAAGCACTCCAAGCCTTTGGTCTGAGAGACTGAATAGGATGGAACTGTCATCAGTAGAGACGAGGATGACTTTGAGCAGAACAGACTTCAAGCAGAATACCCAGAGTTAATTTTGGTTATATTAAGTCTAAGATATTTATCTCCAAATGGAGGCTGAATTTACAGGTAGGAACATGAGTCTGGCATTCAAGAAGGAAGTCTGGACAGGGCAGAGAGTAGAAGGGACAGAATATATTTGGGGGTTGACAATACACACATTGCATTTAAAACCATGGGACTGGGGCTGGGGATGTGGCTCAAGTGGTAGCGCGCTTGCCTGGCATGCGTGCGGCCCGGGTTCGATCCTCAGCACCACATACAAACAAAGATGTTGTGTCCGCCGATACTTGAAAAATAAATATTAAAAAAATTAAAAAATAAATAAATAAAACCATGGGACTGGAGGAAGTCATGAGGAAGTGACTGTAAATACGAGCAAAAGGCTGAGATGAGCCCAAGACCGCTACAAACTGTAAGATGTTGGGAAAAGGAGGTGAACCCAGGAGAGCAGGCTGAGAAGGAGCAACTACTGGGTAGAGAAGGAGTCAAGAGCAGCATCCTGGGAGCAGGTCAAAGGCTCGCCAAGGACAGAGTGGCTACCTGCACACAATGCTGCTGATGGGTCAGGAGGATGAAGACTGAGACCTGATCAGTGGACCTTATTAGGGCCTGGGTAAGACCCATAGGACAGAAGGGAGGGAACCCAAGCCTGATCAGAGTGGGTTCCAGAGAGAATTATCCAATTACCAGCTTACTGGAACACTAAGAATAGAGGAACATGCTCAGTGGGACCAGGAGGGATGCCATCAGCAGAATCCAGGCAGTGAGACACTAGACAGGACTGATAGCCCAGTTCCTCTCACAGATGAAGTGCAAGGAAAAACAGAGATGAAGGAGAAATCTACAGATTGAAAAAGACGAAGACATGTCAATCACAATGTGTGGACCTTATTTAAATTCTTATTTTAAAAAATTTGGAAAAAGAAAGGAAGGAATGATTAATTGAAAATCTAGACCCCAACAGGACACTGGAGTGGGGTGAGGTTTCTCCTGTGGCAGTGGTGCCAACATGGAGTTTATTTATTTTTATTAATGAATTTTAATTTTATAGATAGTGGGCTTCCTTGTGTGTTTACTTATTTATCTATTGGTACTAAGGATTGAAGTCAGGAGCACTTTACCACTGAGCCACATCCCCAGCCATATTTATTTATTTATTTATTTTAAATTTTGAGGCAGGGTCTCTCCCTAAGTTGCACAGGGCCTTGCTATTTGCTAAGGCTGGTCTCAAATTTGTGATCCTGCTGAGTTGTGGGGATTACAGGTGAGTGCCACTGCACCTGGCCAGTATATTTATTTTTAAAGAGTTATTACCTTTTAGAATTAATACTGATATATTTATGAACAAAGTGATTGACATCTGGGCATTTGCTTCAAAATTAAAAGAGTGGGGTTCCGTTTGTGTACAATGTGTCAAGATGCATTTCACTACCATGTGTGACTGATTGGAACAAATTTAAAAAAAAAAAAGTAAAGAGAGACCAGTAGAATAGAAAAAGGGGAACAAGGGGAGGGGAGGGAGGAGAGGAAAAGGAGAGGGACTGGAGAAGGAAATTGATCAAATTATACTGTCTTACGGTGTGAACAAATTTAAAAAAAGAAAGAAAAAAGGCAGAGTCATATAAATCCTATTTGGGATAACATAAGACAGTAAATAAATTTTATTTCTCTGAAAAAAATAAAAGGAGTGAGGAAGTGGGTAGGCATTCAGAAGAAACAGGATCAGTCAGGCTTGATGAGCACTGAAGCCAACGGTAGGTGCACAGGGCTTCCGTCATGCTATTCTATCGGCTTTAGTATGTGTTTGAATATTCCATAATAGAAATCTGGGGAGAAGAGAATGGGGGTGAGAGAACAGGAGATAACAAGCGTACACTTCTAAAAGACTCTTTTAAAGGATTCTGCTCTCCAGGAGAACAGAAAATGAGGTGCTAAGTGGAGGGAGGTGCAGGGCCGGGGAGGTTGAGTTCTTGAGACAGGTGGGTCATGGAGCGTTGGAGTGCGAGGACCAGGAAAGAGAAGAGCGCTGAGAGGCAGATGGCACAGATGCTAGGGTAGCCTCCTAGAAGAGGGGATGTGGATGGACACCAAGCCTCAGTGGCAATGACCAGGGCACTGGGGCAACAGGTGCGGGAATGTGATGCCACACAAGGAAGCCTCCTCTGAGTGTCTCCAGACTCTCAGAGAAATCGAAATCAGGGCATCAATGAGAGCAGCGCTGACCAGCCAGAAGAAAGCAGAAATGATTCGGCCAAAAAGGGCCCACCTGAGTTTAGTGATCCAGATTTAAAAGCCAGTCCATTCACTGTGATTTTGGGTCTGTCCCCAGCCATGGTTTGGACAAGCAGGTACAAAGGTAACCAATGGCAAACTGTCACTGGTCAGCTCTCAAGTGGAAAAACCAAATAGTGAAGGTCTTTGCAGCCAGCCAGGAACTTCACCACGACACTGAAGGAGACAGCCAGGGAAGCCTGTGAAGCCTGACAGCTGGAATCAGGGGCTTCGTTCCCTTGCGCAGTTGCTCACCTCCAGCCCTGCCGCTGACCCCCCACTTACCTTGGGTGCCTCCCCCTTGCTGCCGGGGGGCAGCCGCAGGACCCAGAAATTCCTGTTGCGCAGCAGGTTCTCCAGGTTCTCCAGCCGCCGCTGCAGCAGCCCGTACTCCTGCAGCAGGGTGCCCAGCACGGCCCACTTGCTCTCCATGTGGTTGCCGAACTCCACGGCCGTCTTCTCGCAGTCGGCCAGCTTCTTCTCGGCGGTCCCGGTGCGTCCCTCCAGGTTCAGCAGCTGACTGGCTTGGGCGTCCACCTTCCTCTCCACAGCCTGAATGGCAGCCACCACGGTCCAGAGTGAGATCTCCGCCGTGGGCAACTGGGGCTCCCGCATCATGCGGTCAGGGAAGACAGGCGCCCTATCTGGGAAGGGTGGGAACTGAAAAGGCATTGGTCGCCGGGCATCCATGTCCCATTCTTGAGCCTGTGTGCAAAGGGAAAAAGCGACAGCCCAGGATGAGAATATGCGCCAGAGGGGAAAGTGGCTAGCGAACTGGGGACAATTAATCAAATGCCACCGATTGTCTTTCTTCTGCCAAGCCCTACCTCCAGCCATGGTATTCATTAATGCTCCCAGCAAAAGTGAGAGCAGCCATCTAGCCCTCCCCCAATCCGTAGCCCACCTCCTGCCTGTGCGGAGTCAGACTAGCCACCAATTCACCTTCTTTGACATCTGGAAGTCAAGGCTGTGGGCCCGTGTCTAAAATGTTCAGACTCTCTCTCTGAACAGAGCAGCTGTTTTCTTCATGGGCTAGATTTAATTGTAAACTTCATATTTGCCCCGTGTTTTTTGTTTCAGGGTAAGAATTTTCATGTAAACTTTCTGATGCTAATCTTCCCAGCAATCTCTCAGCAGGTTAGGACAAGAATGATTATCTCTACTTTAAAGATGATGAAATTGAGGCATGGAGAAGCAGCTGGTCATTCCATAGTACCACCCTGCACTGCCAACAGGCACACCTGTGGGTGCTACAGGTAATGCCAACCTTTCAGGTATGTGCTGCTACCACCATTCCTATTAGGGCTGCAGACCAGGGAGATACCAGATGCCCAAGCTAGAGAACAGACAAGCGGGGTGGGGGGCTTGTTGTTTCCCTTTTCCTTACACGACTATTCTTTCATAAATACGTTGCAAACTGAAAATAGATTAACTAAAAAATGTCATTCATTCAAAATTCTTCATTCAAGAGGAGGGGACATCCCTCACCCTCCACAAGGGCTAAGAGTAAAAGCTCTGGGACCCCTCCCTGCTTCCTGAGACCTCCTCCATTATCTTTCTGCACAGAATCCTCACCCCAAGAGTAAGGCCAGTGGGTGCAGGTTGGGGGCTAAGCGCTATGTCTAGAAAGGAGAGTGGAGGGTGGCCACAGTTCTTTGGGGATCTGAGAACCAGTGACATACTGTTCTAGTATTCAGGGCTCCACAGGCTGAGAACCAATTCTTCCTGCATGGGTCAAGAGGAGGTTTCACTTTTTGTTCTCCCTGTTGCTGTGAAGAAGCCCTCCTGCTGGGAAAGTGGAGGGATTTGGCTTTGAGATGGACTGGACAGGCCAGTGACAAGCATGCCTGCTACTCTCCCAAACTCAGAAGCTGTCCCCACAGTGTCCTGAGACTCTCTCCCTCTGGGAGAGAGGAGAGCAGGCTCTGGGGCTGCAGTCCCGGCTGGGTAAGGCAGCCCCGTTGCCTCTTCATCAAAGCCACCCACAGGGCTCAGGGAGGCTGCACTCTGACCTAGCCAGAGAAGAGGGCAAGGGCTGCCAGTGGAAGTTTGAAGACCTGAAGCTGACAATCGATCAAAGAATACACAGCAGCTCCTGGCTGGCTCCTCCGGTGGGAGCAGAGGGGCCTCTGCGGAGGCCATTCGAGGGTGGCCGCAGAACCTCTTCCCTGGGTTCTATGTCAGCCTGGGGCGCTGGTTCTCAAACGCCGCACCTGAGATCACGTTGGAGCCTAAAGAAAGACCGGCGCCTCCTCCACCCCCGGGGGCTGGAGCTGACCGTTCAGGGACGCGGCTTGGGCGGCGTCAGTTGTCTTCGGAGCTGCTCACAGGACTCCAATATGCGGCCAAGTTCGCCGACCCAAGACGACCAAGTCACCTCCCCACAGTCCCTTCCCAGGATCGCACCGGTGCCGAGGAAAAGTGGGTGGCTCATTATACTTGGGAGAGATGGCGCTGAAACATTTTGCGATCTTGTCGTCCACCTGGCTGCGGTGTAACCTGGACGAGGCGATCGCCCTGCGGCGGAGCAGGAGGCCTGCCGCGAGCCTCAGTCGGCCCGCGAAGGGCGGCGGGCGCCGTCCCGGGCAGGGCCGGGCGCGCACGGGCGGGACAG